ACCACTTTTAATCATTTAATTTAAAACCTTTAAAATTCCATGATTACCATCAGAAAGAGTTATTATTCATGGTAGTTGGTCATCGACATTAACATAATATATGTTTTTTATTAATACAAAAATAAAAATAATGATTAGCAAATATTTTTAAGCTACTGATATTAAGCAAWAAAGTTATGAAATTCGATTATTTTTTTATTTTAAAATGAGAATTAGCACATCTTTAATTAGTTTATAGTTGTATTGTATAATATTATTGTGGTATCTGTTCYCTAGGCATGGGGTGTTCGTAACATAACATTTGTTGATAATGGGAAAGTATCATATTCAAATCCAGTAAGGCAGTCATTATACAGGCATTCTCATTGCATAAATTCAAATACTTACAAAGCAACAGCTGCTGCTGATGTATTACGTGAAATACACCCTGAAATTGTATGTATTAGTAAATAATTTAATATTGATACATTAGTTATTGTTAATTAATTATTATTCATTGGTATTTACAATATTTAAATTTGAAATTATTGAATACAATTTTWAATTTATAATATTATATGACGTTTAACATATTGATATTGTATTTTTAGAATAGTACTGGTGTGGTTATGAGTATTCCAATGCCTGGCCACATGGCAAACATTGATGATCACAAAAATGTAGATTTATTATCAAAATTAATAGAAGATCATGATGTTATATTTTTGTTAACGGATTCACGTGAAAGTCGTTGGTTACCTACCATGTTATCTACATTACACAATAAGGTACCTATCTATTAATTTACTACAAACAGATTTTTTGTTATTATATATCAATATTACAATTAGTTATTTTGTKATTTGTGTTCTAGCTTGCCATAACTGCAGCATTAGGATTTGAATCATATTTAGTAATCAGACATGGAGTTAAAGTACCAAATGTTTCTACTGGTGAACAAAAATTAGGCTGTTATTTTTGTAATGATGTTACAGCACCTGGAAATGTAAGGATTAATCATTATTTTTATAGAAAGCATTATACAGTGGTCGCCACTTATTGCACTCATGGTTAATTGACTCATTTGCCTATTAGACTCATAACACCTGGTCCCAATTCGTATATATTCTAAAATATAGTAAAAAATGTGTCTATAAGACTCACTCATGAGTT